AGTCAATTATGGGTTTAATGTCGTCGTCTTCCAGCTGGCTTTTCCTGACTTCTTTGTCACTCCATGGTTCTCGATCAGCCGATGCTGATGTTGTAACGTATCATGCAACCGGATTAAGCAGCTCGTATTTCGCTTCGACCCTGGAACAATATCGGCAGCTTTCTGGGCAGGGTCTCCTAGACAGGGGTGTCAGCGTTTTTATGTGATGATTGCTTCCGATGACGGATAGTAATGTCATATTCCTGGAGTCTCTGTATCCATCTGGCTATTTGGCCTTCAAGATGCTTGAAATTTAAATGCCATGTCAATGATGCATGATCCATGCTGACCGGGAATTTTCTACAGTAGAGATAATGATGGAATTGCTCTACGGCTTTACTATGGCAATTCTTTTCTGGTGACAGAATAATTCCTCTCCGGTTTAGATAGGACTTGCCTCCAGTAGGCCACCACACGTTCTTGGAGTTTTATTTCTTGGGACAAAACAGAACCGTCATTGTTCGCATCTGTGTAAAGAATAAATGGTTTGTCGAGCTGAAGATACGCCAGATTGAGAAGATGTTAAAGCTTGTTTCGGGGCTGAATGCTGCAATGCATGTTTTGAGAACACGTATTTGAAAAAATAACATCCATCTCTTCTAGAACAACAAAAGTTCTTGACTAATAATAGCAATAAAATTTCTTTACAATGACTTGATTTTCTGTCTAATGACTTTTGAATGAAAAGTTAATTAAATAATAAACAACAATCTTTTTTATTATTTTCTATATAGGTTGATGTGAAACTAATCTACTGAACCTCCAGAGATTGAATCTTAATTTTTGATTTAAATTCAGTGTTATACAGTATATAATTATAGATTTAGTATTTTACTGTGGCATAACGCTATTTAAAGAAAACTTAGTGTTTGAGTATAGACCTAGATCTCATTATTCATCAGGTATTTTTTCATTTATGTTTAAGAAAACTGATAATAATGTATTATTTTGGTTTAAAATGTGTGTTATCACTACACTTGTTTGAAAACTGGTGTTTATTTGATTACATTTTTGAGTAAATTAATGAAGTAGTAAGTTATATTGTAAGGGATAGAAGAAGAGGAGCATAGTTGGTAAGATCAAAAATTTTTAGCTATCATGCAATGTGACTAGATCTGAATGTCCAATCTGTCGATTTCTAGCTCAGGTGTGAAGATGAACACAGCAGGGAAAGGATGTAAATAGCCCTTTTTATTAAGCGCAATTCCTTAAGAGAAAGGTACAGCGTTTTCATGTGTATACTCGCGGTGAGAACTCAAAGATAATCTAACAATATATTCAAAATGTAAGAAATAATGCTAGACTACACAGTTTTGTTTAATTTAACAGACTTACTTAGCAACCTACACCGACGATAGAATAACTAAATAACCAGAATGCGTAACCGTTACTAAGCTTAACAACTGGAGAGGACAAAAGAGCAAACGTGCGCCGCACTAGCGAAATCACGCTCTGTCTAACCTTCTCGTTTCACCCGTTTAACGTTCACCTACTTAAAATTTGCATTCTGGCGAGAAACTGAGAGAGGGAATAGAGAATTCAGAAAAGATACAAAAATATAACATAACTGGTTAGTGAACTAAGGTTAACTTTTAAGTTAACTTTTAAATAGACACCGGTGCTTAACTTAGTGTCTTTCTTTTATTTAAGAAGTAAACAAAATTCTGAGATGAGTGAAAACTAGTACAATTTTCGAAGTTTACCGGGATATTTAAACTTGTTGGTAAAATTAATTTAAATTGCAATGTTGGGAATATTCACGTAACTGTGGATTTCTTTAATACAGAGAGGATTAGAAATTCGCATAAAATTAAATGTTTAGTAAAATACGTGTAGTCTCAATTATACAAAAGCAATTTCTGCAGAACAATAAGGAAATTAGATGCAAATGTAATATTAAAATAAAAGAAATTGTTTACTCATCGTTCTCACTTAGATGCATACCAATAAGTCTGCGCTCTAAATTTGAGAAGGCCCTGAAATAGTTGCAAGAGCAAGGGTTTAGGTGTAATGCTGAAAATTCTAAAGGCTGGGTTAGAAATCTTGGTATTAGTTTAAAAGACAGAAGGCTCTCTTAGGTTTTGTTTGGACTTACAAGATCTTAAGAAAATTTACAATGGATCACATTCTAGTACTCAAAATTCAGAAACTTCTTAAATTATGTAATAAAATTGTCTTTACTGTTTGCGATCTTAATGATGGATTTTTCAAAATAAACTAGATAAAAAGAGCAGTGATTTGGGCATGTGTAAAAGCCAAGTGGGGTGCTACATAGACACAAATGCCCTTTAAAACTCCCAATGAGATTATCATGTGCATCAGAAATTCCCCCCCCCAAAAAAATGACGCAAATTTTAGGAACGTTCAAAGTATTTTAGTAGCGTTTTTTGGCTGGGAAAGCATTTAACGATCATGGCGCGATTTTTAGTTAAAGTAGTTAAAAGAATTAAAGAAATTAATGTGGCATTAAAAAAGCATTAAAATTCAGAATAAACTACCAGAACCTGGGTTTAAACTGGTGTTTGTTTTACGGAGATGAAACCTGTTCCTATTATGACAAAGCTATTGGTGAAATGCTAAAATCAACTAATATAACTGAAATGCAAAAGGATGCATGTTTAATTATCTTAGGAAATCTATACCCCAAGCATCAACTATATCAGCTTCTTTAAGGGAACTTATGAAGCAAATTGTAATATTGTAATAGTAAACCTATATATATTCAGAATCTGTTTAAATTAAAAAAAAAAAATAAGATTGCTAGTGCACCAGTTTTGGGTGTTTTCGATAGCTCAAATCAAACTATAAGCTTGTAGAAGTTGTTTGTATGCTGCTTGATGGTAGGCTAGTTTATTTGCTCCTAGAAGTTTAACTGAAGGAAAAAAGGACTGTACGCTAATTGAAAATGAATGTTTGTTATTTCTAAATTCCATTATTTTATTTATGAGTGATTAAAGTATTAAATGATCAAAAACAATGAGTACTTATAGTGGATGAAATATAGCAACTGTAATATCATCTAGAACGCAATGATACGAAACTAAAATTGTTTAAATACTACTTACGTTTTTCATGACTAATATATGTATATTGAGGCTGATTATTTTGATTAAATATACCAACATGGATTTAGTATACTAATAGGGTTAATAACTCTTTCCCTAACTTTATACTCAATTACTTCTCCCACTGAGCGAGTCATTGACGAAATGAGGCATATAGGAAAGATGCTAAGGCTGTTGGTATAACATGAGTATTTCGAAGTAAAAGTAACGGTATTAATAAAGGCCTCTTAGCAGATAAAGGATATAAAAAAGAAGTAGATACTCAACTTTATGCATCTACAGCAAAATTATCTACAGTGGAAATGATGACTCCTCTGTCCTTGCAAAAGATCTTGTAAATTTAAAATGTAGAATTAAACATGGACATGGGAAACATGGTTAAATGGAACATTAAAGTATGCTGTATATTTCAAACCATCTGACGGTGTGTCTTAGATAATGGAAATGTATTAAAGTTGAAACGATCTCTGTATGGTTTTAAGCCGTCACCACGTTGCTGGAATAATAGATTTAATAAGTTATTAAAAGAAAAAAAATTTAAAGATGCAAAAATGATTCTTGTATATATATATTGAGGAAGATGGAATTTGTTGTTATTAACACTGATGATACTATCCTTATTGGAGAAAAAGTGGAATTAATGGCATAATTAATCTGCTAAAGAAGATATTTAAGACAAAATGGCTTGGAGAACTAAGCCGTTATTTAGGAACAGAAATAAACAGAATTACAAACGGAATAGAAATAAAACAACATAAAATAATAAAGATAATTTAAAAAGAGTTAACATGCCGAACTACAAAAGAACAGAAACATCTCCAGATTCTAGTTTCATGGCAAATTTAACTGAGGAAATTATTTATTATTTCGTCAATGACTCGCTCAGTCGGCGGATGTCCTGTTCTCGAACACAAGCCGAAAGCTATATAAACCCTGCTGGTCCGCAGTCAGAGTGAGTGTGCCTCGTCTAGCGAGTTGATAGTCAGTCATTGAGCAAGTGTCTCGAAGTCTAGCGCCGAGTCGGTCGTCGAGTGCATCGTTGAGAGAGCGTGTTGAGCTCTGGGAACGACTGAATCGATGAGTCGAAAGTCGTGCTCTGTGTGTCGTCGAGTGCATCGCGAGTTGTAGCGTGGAGAGTCTCGAGAGTACGTGGAGTTCCAAGAACGACCGAGCAGAGTCGGGAGCTGTACTTTGGGGCTTTGCAGTGAAGCGGTCTCCACCGTTATAGCCTGATAACCTGAAGGCTGTGTCGCTGATTGTGTCAGCGTGTTCATAGTAGTTCTTCGACGAATTTTGGAGCTGTTCTGATTAGTACTGGTTAAATAAAGTATGTTTAGATACTTCATCAAGTGTAATCGCTATTCACTCCAAATCTACACGAGCCCCGTTTTAGAGCTTTCCACTTAAATTAAAAGCTTTTGTTGCCTGCCCTATATATTTTCACCAATTTTTCTCCATTCTTTTCTCTCGGTCTTGATTTAACTGCACCATACATTTCATAATGAAATTGGCAATGAGAAATGTTTCTGATGCTCTTTTCCTCTGAGCCCCTAAGCACCTTTCTACGGTGCCTTTTTTCCTTGGTGCCGTATACTTATTTTGCTTAATGGTTAATCCAGCTATGATGATAACTCTGTTGATTTGGTAAACCGTATCTCGTATTCATCTCCAGTAAGAAGATATAAAGAATTAAAAGCCCTTGTGTTATGTGTCCTTGCAGTACTATTAAGGAAATTCAAATATAAGACAAAAAAATCAATAATGCGTTAGTCCTGAGGGAGCTGTTATCCGATTGGGCATTGTCTCGTAGAGTTGGCGGATGTCCTCCTGCTAGATTACTTTACATACACATCCCAATTAGGAAATTAGATCGGCAGGATCCAGGGACAGTCAGATATGCCTGTTCTTCAAAATCCCACGTGCTCTATTGGAGAGAAATCTGGCGGCCAGAGAAGTGTTGAAGAAACAAGAAGGCAAACAGAAAGACGTGTCATGAGCAAATGGGCTATTGAAATGTAAGCTCAGGAGTCAATGAAAAGAAAGGCAACACAATGAGGAGTGCAATCTAGTTGACTCACCGCCTTACTATAAAGGCGCTATAGATGGCCGCCAAAGGGGTTCGGCTATAAAAAAAAATGACATCCCATACGATAAATAATGACAATCTGGCTGCACTGTAAAAAAAAAAAACCTCGAAGTTTACAGACAAAAGTCTTGTATAGTTACAGAAATGCGAGCAATTACGAAGGAAATACCTGTAACGCAACCAAAGAACCAAACCAAACTGTAAACTCTACAGGAATTTTTCAAGAAGTTTTGCTTTGATTTTGTCCGTAGCGTGTGATCACGTGGCTTAAAACGGCTGAGAGAGAAGAACCAATCAGGAAGAAGGTGGAAAAAGCGTTTTAGCGGGAGAGTTCAACGATACGATAGTCGCCATATTAGCCATTATTTTTGCTGTGGTCGAGGTAAGTTCGAAATCAGTGTTTGACGTGTAATTTTATGTAATGTATTTGTTATGTTCTTTACACTATCTATAATTAAATTCTTTAATGTTTAGCTTATAATTATATGCTCCTAACTAACCTGTGTTGAATTATGTTAGAGTTCAAATCACAGAGCTTGTGTTCCATTTAGTAAAATAACAACTTTTATGTTACATTGCAGGTGTCTGCAGTTAAATGCTCATATTTATAAACAGAAACAAATTTGTTAATATGTTAGTTTAAAAACAAATAAGCTTAAATAATGTTCTATCTATAGTGTAATAATTCTCATGTTAATATTTGTATCTTTTAAAATTTATCGCGTTAGAATATCATATTTTCATTTTTGGAAAGATGTAACATTATATCCATACATGTTATCATTAATTCCAGCGGGAAATGTTTTAGAATATTTTCAGAGCATTATGTTATTATTAATCTCAACAAAAAAAAAAATAAATGTAATATATTTAAAAAATTCGACGGAACAGCTTTAGTATAGCCCACCTTTAAAGTTTGCGAATTTGGTTTGGCGCCAAAGCCACAGAAATACGTTGTTTTGAAAATGGTTGCCATCCAGATTTCGACGAAACTCCGTGTTTCAAAAAATGGCGGCCATCTGATTTCACCAGAAATCGTGGATAATAGAAAAGTTTACGATTATTATACACGATTTTAAGAGAAAGAAATATTAAGAAATGATTAATAAAAATGATTAAAGTTAAAAGGATGTAATTTTAAAAACAATACGGAAACCTTTAGCTATTCACCTTTAATAAATAATTTGGTGTGACGTCACAATGTATTCTCCATGCTACGCGTAATTTTTATTTTCTCTTTAAAAAAATTATGAATTGTTTATTATTGTAAATTAACATCAGATTCTTTCAATTTACATTTCTGAGCTTAGGCGTAACTGAAAATAAGTATAATAAATTGTTTATATTAAAATTATCATGATACACTAAGCGAATTCTACCAGTTATTACACGATAAGAACGTCGCAGTCTCTCATACTTGTTTTCATACAGCGTCAGTATTTCCAAATATTTTTAAGCTTAGCATTATACAAATAAAAAAGTTTTTTTTAATATTACTCTGGAACATATCAATTTTATCATATTACAAATTAAAGTTGCTACGTACAAAGTAATCCCTTATATACAGTAAGTAGAAATTTTCATTATTTTCTAAAATTTTAAACTTCACATTAATGAAAAGCAGGTTCTTAAATTCATAAATCAATATATTCTGTAGGCAGGCATACTAGAATTCTACACATAAATAAATAAAAAATTAATTTCTCGCAATGAAAGAAAATATTATAAGAAAATAAATACTACAAATTAGGAACATAAACAATGCTTCACATACACAACACATACAGTGTCTCACAAAAGTGATGGACACTTGTGCTTTACAAAGGAAACTGTAGTAAAATAAATTTTAAAAAAAACATGTAAAAATTTTGGTGGGGTGTGTTTCAACTTAATTAGTAACAATTAATACATAACACAATTTCTACAAATATTAAAAATCAATTTAATAAAATACAATTGTTTAAAAACGGGCAAAAAATGGCTCACATAAGTGATGGGACACTTACTTCCATCAAAATTTATCCAAAATTTTACTTTATAAAAGGTTTTAATATTTTGTTGGATTTCCTTTTACTTTTAAAACATGATTTAATCTCTTGGGATGGATTCGACTAATTTTTTGCGATTTCTGGAGTGATTTTACCCCATTCTTTTTGAAGCAAGCACCGATTTAATGTTGTTTTGAAGAAATGGTGTGTTTGCGAAATTCTTCCCTGGGTTGTCTCCACCAAGATTTACCGTCAGAATCAAATATATTAATTTACTCTCATCAGCAAATATAACTTCATTCCAGTAATCAGAATTCTTATTTATGTTGGATTTGCGAAAGCCAGTTTCATTCTTTTCACTCACGAAGAATGTTTTCCCGGCTGTCCAAGTGATATCCAGCAGATCGAATTACTCTTCTAATAGTCTCAGGATTAACAATTACCCATATAATGCTTGTAAATCAGCAGCAACTTTAGGAGCATCAATCTGGATTTTTTTTTAATATTTCGAACGATAATTCACTTTATTCCATGGATAGCTTTGATGGTCGGCCAGGTCTTTTTTATCCTGAATCATATGATTCTTTTTATATCGTTTATGATATTGAAACTGTTGAATTGACTCAGGTTAACTGTTCAGCAGTTTCTCTAATAGAATTTCCCGCCAATATGCAAATTAATAACTAATTTTCGAATTTCAGGCAAAGGTTCTTTCGTAGCATCATGGCTGCACAGAGATAAAAAACACAAAATTCCAAAACAAACCGGAGAGAAATATGCCGACGATTTATAAATTATGCCAATTGCTTGAGTAAAAATAAAAACCCCCAAAATAGTTTTATTGCTTCAGACGATTTTTGTTGCATAGAACGTAGAGTATCTAATGGTGTCCATCACTTATGTGAACATTTTGCTCCGTTCTAAACAAATGTATTTTTATTAATAATATTTTTAGAAGATGTACGTGATGTAATAATTGTTACTAATTTAAGTATGAACACACCCACAAAAAATTTTTACATGTTTTTTTAATTTTTTCATTACAGTTTCCTTTGTAAAGCACAAATGTCCATCACTTATAATGAGGTAAAAGTTACTTATAGGGTCAAAGTTATGTTCTGCTACTGTTAGTAGATCGTTCGGGCTATCCATATATATCGTAACTCGGAAAGCGTTATAACATATCAAAAACAAAAAATTAAAAATACATTTAAATGAAAATGATGTCTAAATATTCACAATTAAAACAACAATACAAATTTAAAATACACAAACGATATTTTAACATTGCATATAAATACGTTACATTGCAGCTTGTCATCACACATTAACTCGTTTTCCTTTATACACAACAATCCGTATTTGCTCGAAAAACATCAAAGCTCGGTGTCCATGTACACATCCATCTATTTCCACCTTAAAAATATCAGAGAATTGCACAACCCCGGCATTGAGCACTACATTGGCTTTGCCCATGTACACATCGATCTATTTTCACTTAAAAAAAATCCTAGAATTGCACAACCTCGGCATTGCGCACTACATTGGCTCTGCCCATGTACACATTGATCGATTTCACTTAAAAAAATCCTAGAATTGCACAAAGTAGGCACCGCGCACAACCTCGGCATGCGCACTACATGGCTTTGCCCATGTACACATCGATCTATTTTCACTTAAAAAAAATCCTAGAATTGCACAAACTAGGCATGCGCACTACATTGGCTTTGCCGATGTACGCATCGGTCTATTTTCACTTAAAAAAACATACTAGAATTGCACAAACAGGTACCGCGCACAACCTAGGCATTGCGCACTGCATTGGCTTTGCCCATGTACACCTCGATCTATCTTCACTTAAAAAAATCAGAGAATTGCACAAACTCGGCATCGCGCACAACCTCGGCCTTGCGTACTTCATTGGCTTTACCCATGTACACATCGATCTATTTTCACTTAAAAATCAGAAATTTAATAAACTCTGCATGCGCATACTAAGAAATCTGCTTTACATAAAAGAAATCGGAGAATTGCAGAATTCGCGCATAAGCAACTCCATTGATTCGCGTTTGTAAAAAAAAAAAAAAAAAAAAAACGTTCTAGAAAAATTGAGCTTACTACAGGCGAATCAAGATCCTAGCCTAATTGATTTTCAGCCGACATTTCTTGCAAATACTACCATTCGATGACTTTTTCTGACTAACTAACAGCATGGTATCTTAACTTTTCACAGAAAAAAAGTTATCCTTCAATAATCGACAATCCATCAAATATCCTCTAAAAGTTCATACTTATTGTTAATTCATGCATAAATATGTTCCCAAAATTTACGCTTGTTGAAAACTCCCACCTTAAATTTTCCTTTATAATCTCCTGTACTTAATTACAACATCACTAACAGCAGTTTTAGAGCAAGCAATAACTAAACGCAAAAATCACCTCAAGTAGCCAAAAAATTATATACAAATAGTATTCACGGTATCTGAGCTTTGTGTTACGAATAACAGTGTTACGAATTTAGGTATTAATTTTAGTAGAATTAATTTAAAATCTTGTATTTCCTCCTGCAAAGCAGCGCGAGACAAATTTTAAGAGAAACTACAAAAGTAAGAATACAGGGCCGTGCATTAAACTTTGCGTAAACGGATAAATCGGTAATTGTATTGAAATTGAATAAATGTAAGACTACTAATTAGCTGTAACCGTATTCCATCCTCTTGTTACATTGCGTTTGGCGAATAGTATGGGGTACCAGATCATCATTTATCGCCGCTCTTGGCAATATTTTTTTTGTTTAAAATTCCGGGTGGGCTATACTAAAGCTGTGCGAATTCGACAAAATAACTTAACATACATTAAAAATGGAATATTACTTCATTAATACATGCGATAAGTTCTCCTTAAAAGATTATATAGTCGGATGGCAATTACATATTTGTAAAAGTATTCAATGTATATTATTTTTTGTGTTAAGATAGTTTTAATCCAGGACAGTCTTTACCAACTTATAAAGCATCTATTAAGTTACATTATAACCAACATTTACAAAAGATAATAATCGAAATGCCATGACTTTGACATATTTTTAACTATGATGTAACATACTAGGAACATTAGAGAAAAAAAATTCTATTTTTTCCTTTATGCTTGTTGAAAAGTAAAATATTAATAAAATGGTACAACATTCATTCTAGTACTTATAATGTAAATTTACATATTTACTATAAATTTTGGTGCAAAGTTCATTATAAAATGCATTTGCTAATATTTAATAGTTATAGCATTCAATATCAAATCATGGAAATTTAAGTAATGATACGTCAGTTGCATATATTAATTTCAATACTCAGCTCAATGCCAAATTTCTTCTATATCTGAGATAACATGTATTTTTTGAATAATTCTTTTGTGTCATCTTTTCATTTAAAAATCTCTTTCAGATATATTTTAATGTGAATTATTTTCAAAATTATCCTCATTAAAATGAATGTTGTTCTCTTTATTATGTTTGAAACTGCCGTTACGCTAAAAAATATATTCAGAAAACTATTTATTGCTGAATGTTTAAAATAAGTTCTACCACTCCTTTTTGACAAAGAGTATCCATTTGAATTGCAGTTGGTTTTAATTAATCGTTGGTTGTATTTTAAAGAACTACTTGATAAAATTCAACAAATTAGTTCAATCTATGAGTTCATCTGAAAAACTTGCCAAGTAAAATTGAACACTTTTCGGTCCGAGGTTCGAATCCCGCGAACGGGCTGGCTGCATGGGCGTTTTCGTGGTTTTCCCCATGTGTAACGTGTATACGAGCCAGTTCCTTAGAAGTTCCCGAAAGGCATCCCTCAGGCAGATTAGTTGCAAGAATGAAAAAAATATACAAGAATGAAAAAAGAATTACAAATTCACTATCCAACAATACTGAGTAATATAAGTTGTTGATATAGCCAAACTTAAAATGACCCATTTTAAAACCAGATTAAATAAATCATCGCGTATTTTCGGTCATCGAATTTCTTTGGCGTTAAAAGTGTCATAGATTTAGTAAATCCAAGGGTCAAGGTAAGCTCAGAGATTTTTTTTTCATAGTTCATATTTGCTAAGTTATAAATTTTGCTGATGCAAAAGTTATGTAACTTATGCAAACATATGCTTAGAGTATTTGAACTAGTGTTGAAAAATCACTGGAATTTAAAATGTAATTGACAGTATGCCTTAAAGCCTGTTTTGGTAAAAGCATATTTATGGGGGCCCCTTGGCAAAAATTGGCGATTTTTGGCAGTACATGGATACCGAGTTTGTGCAATTCTTTGACCATGTTATTTTGGCTTGTGTAGCGACGATTTGTGTGCCAAAAACCGCCGCTACACAAAGACAAGAGATTGCACATACTCGGTATCCATGTACACATCGACCTATTTTCACTTAAAAAAAATCTGCGAATTGTACAAACTTGGCATCGCGCACTCCCTTGACTTTATCCATGTACACATCGACCTATTTTCACTTAAGAAAACATCAGAGAATTGCACAAACTTGCGCTCCCTTGATAATACAGGGGGCACCCTTCAATATACTCTAACTGCTGTTTTTTCATAAATTAAAACATTTTAGGCATTTAAGATATCTTCCTGTAAGTTACAACTAAATGAATGACTCTTAAGCATAAAAAATATCAAATTTTTATGCTTAAAGAGTAGAAGGAGTTATACACTTTTTTTAAATAACAGTGTCAGAAAAATATACTTTTTAAAATATGTAAACCATTGTTTGAAGTACAGAAAAACCTTCCTTAGCAACTATACCTCTTTAAGTGACTATGTCAAGTATTCTGGTGATACAAACATTGATATTAATTATCACTGAGAATCATGCTTTGTGAAGTAACCACCTCCATTAAATATCAAAATTGTACAAAATTATGGAAGGTTATAGAGAGGTTTTACTGTATACTTAAAGTATATCATATCACTGTTAGATATTGATGATGTAAAAGATATTATCTAATCATAAATATTTCAAGCATTAAATAGCTTAGTAAGTCAATAAGTTTTCAGATTCTGACTTTGTACCCTGTCTTTCACTATGTAATATTTTTCTAGCAACTGTGTTAAGTACCAGTAAGTAAGTTTCTGTCTTAAATACCACTTAATGTAATCAGGTATCATCTGTTCTGGCTGTAAAACTTAATCGTAATTAAGTGAAACAAATGAATATCTGTAAAACTAAAGATGACACTCTATGTAAAAAATACAAGTATTAAAATGTCTATGAGAGGAACATTTAAAATATTAAATCCACGATCAATTTTTGCGACATCTAAGATAGAAAAATACCCAAACTGACTAGTTAATTCAGAGGATGAATGCATGTAACATCATTGTTCATGTGTTTGTTAATTGTGTAAGTTTTGAAGTTCATGCATTAATTGATGTTCATTGATAACTATATTATTGGCCTTATATATATACTTGCATTTCAAAATTTTGTATATTTTGCCAGTGAGCTAAGTATTAAATGCTGTTACGTATAAGTTCATATTATGTGGAAAAGTAGTTTTTGATCTAACACTTTCTGAGAATTTTTTAATGTTGATCATCAAGCTTAAAGCATACGGCTGAAATTACCAGTATTAACCATAATTTAATTAATTCTCCTGTTTCAGCGTTTCTCAAACTTTTTTCGAATAGAGATTATGTGAATTATCATAATTTGTGAATCACCTTGCTGCTGTTCCCTTCGAAAGCAATTTTTTAGCATATATTACTACTAGTACACTTATATTTTTAATATATAATTAAAATCCGTTATATTTTATAATTAAGTACATTGAAGAAAAGTTATATTTCTAATATTTCAAGGTTATTAATGAGAAGGATGAGTTGTAATTCTTGCATGGCTCTTCTATATTTGGATATGTGATGGTAAGACCACAGTCATAGTGGATATATGGTGGTAAGTACCACAGTTATAGTGCTTTAAATCCATCTTTTACTGCTAAGACTGAGTGGGAAGTCTGTAGGTAGGGTAACCAATAATAAATTTCATAAAATGTCTATCTTACGAGAAAAGGTGATAGATGATTGTCATATGTAATATTTAAACTCAGATTTTTCAACTAAATTTTTTTGTCTCCTTTGGAAACTTCGGAGGACCACGAGGGCAAGCTGTATGATCCACAGATTAAGAAATGGTACTTTAATGCATTTCAGTTTCTAGAGAAATTAATCTTAAAAAAATCTGATCATTATTAAAACTACTTTACAGATTTATTTTATATTACAAATAAATATAGTAAATATCTAATAAACCTCAAATTATTTTCTGCAAAATGAATTATTTAAATTTGTACTGCTTTTGCTTCAAAAATGGATGATACATGCAATTTATGATTTCATGAAAGGACCAAAAGGAATCTTGTTTGCAATTTAATTATTTAATTTAAAAAAAGATTTAAATCATTTGGAATATGTGCAAGTGCATGTAATTATTATGAAGAGATTCTGAATTAAAATGTCACATAACAAATTTAGAATATGTTATGTACTTCTAACGAATGTGATTTTTTCTTTATTTAGGAGCCATGCTTTGAATCCTAAGAAGAAGAGGACTGCTCCTTCACAACTATGATTAATTAAAAATAACAATAATATATAAATTTTACCTATTTTTTTATTTTATTTTCCTTTTGGATAGTTTTCAAATAAAAATAAACCTATTTTTGTTTCTATATTCTGGGTATTGGAATAAAGAGTTTTTCCCCCCTAGTGTTCACTGATATGCATGTAAAAGAATTGTGTGCAAAATTAAATCAATTTTTGTTTGTCACATTCATTTTTCACAGTGTGTACAATTTTCAAGATCTACAATAGAAGATTCATTGTAGCATTTGGATAAGTCTTTTTTTTTTTTTTTTTTTCTGTGTATTTTAAATATAAGATCTGTTTTTGTATATATCAACATTTTCCATACCTTTTTCTTATTTAATTTATAAAAACGTTAAAATATAATAAAATCAAAATAAGTGTATATCTATTTTTCAAGTTGGGTAAGGAGGAGAGGCATGATCTAGCAAAGAAATTCGCAGGACAGTCAGATGAGTATCCCATAAGAGTCCTGGACGTGTCCAAATACGTCTTCGCTGGTCGTTGCCCTCAATTTGAAGCGGAACTCATTGCTGAAAAAAATTCTACTCCAATCTATGAGATACTACAAGTCGAATGCTCCCGGCACCACTGGAAACGTGTCTGATGGCGTACAACTGTGGGGGCAGTAGGCGGTATGACCACCATGACCTCAACTCCCGTTCGCTTAATCGCCTATCAATGGTCATTGCAGCACTAGTGTTCCAGTTACACATCGAGTCGTTGATAAGGATGCATCAGGAGCTGTGAGCGTCAAACGGACGATCACTCTGTCCTTGCGTCCTGGTAGTTGCTTTCGGTCGACTGCTGTCTTCTTGACGCTCTGTACGGTCATGATAATTCCATTCCTACCAACATCGTCAAATGATCGATCATGCGATTTGACTACTCCTTTAGTCCAATTCAACGTCCTCTTTCAAATAGTGACATCTGCCCATACTATTTGCGAAAGTGTCTGCGAGGCATTGATATAGTCCACGTGGATCGATGGAACCACATTTGCATGGAAGTTACGCTTTAGCATTGGAATGTTCTCTGTTTTGTACACCATCCGGTTGCTCCGTTGCAATGAGCTGGAGCTTCAGCTAGTCAGCCATTGGCTGCCAAAAGTTAATCATTGGCATATTCTGTCGTAAGGTATTTGCAAATGCACTTTCTCATACGGATAATTCTGTTTTGGTGCGTCGCTTTTTATATTATGCAGTATATTTAACAGTTTATGTACATGATAAGGTCTTTAACAGTAATGCCAAAAATAATACTATTAACAGATAAAGGTAAATAATATTGCTTTCAATACCCGCTAACTATTTACAGGCGAGAAAAGCCTGTCCTGTCAAGAAAGGATTTCCAATGATAAGACATTTCATTTCTATTACAAATTAGTAATTCCTAGTCTGTGAAACATATGTGTTTCTCGCGGAGCTTATCTTAAAATTTGTTGGTTTCAGTTTCGTAGTTATCTTGGTTCTCAATAATAATGTTCTTTAAACAATTCTTTTATTATATATCTTTTGGCTGTTGATATTCATCAATGCATTGTTGTAATAGATCAACTAAAAATTAATATGGAATCTAATAGAAAATAAAAGTATATACTAAGTATTAAATGATGACCATAAAAGAGTTTCTTTTTCTTGAGCAGGGACAAACAGATGAACCGTTAAATGCTTAATTCAGATCTCCGCAGAAGGAAAGGAATTTTGTTTTCTTCTTAGAAAAAAAAAAAAAAAAAAAGCCATTAAAATTTTATATTAATTAGCTATAAAATTAGTAAATAGGAGTTTGAATAAGAAATATAATATTTAGCGTTTTAAGGATTAAGTGTGTGTGTGTGTGTGTATTGAGAATACGGCAAAGCACACGAGGGCTATCTGCCTAAGGGGAGGGATGCCTTCGTGGAGGACTTTCTAAGGGAAACTGGCTCGTATACACGTTACACATGGGGAAAACCACGAAAACGCCCATGCAGCCAGCCCGTTCGCGGGATTCGAACCTCGGACCGAACTACCAGTGTTCAGCGACTTTACCGCTCGGCCGCTGGTGGGCCTTTTTAAGGATTAAGAGTTACCTCTTAATACTTTGTGATTTATAATGTATAAAAAAATTAACATCATAAAGACAGACTATGTTTCTTTTGAAGCATTTCTCACTTTGTTTAACTAATGTTTTACTATTGCTACTGTTTCCTTTTTCTTCTAATATATACATCCTTTTCTTATATGTAGCCGTTAGTCAAGAATCGTCTTACGTCATCGAATGTATTCGAGATATGATTCCACATCAGGTAAGTGTGAAAATACATGAAAATATTACAATAACTCATTTAAAAAATTTGCAACTAATATAATGTTATGATAAATGGATTCATATTAATAAAACATATTTCATCGCGGATTTAAACAATTTAAGAATATGTATTTGCTAAAGAATATATTCAAATTTTGTATGAAATATTTATAGATTTATAGCATTTTTAAATGATAATCTGATAAAATGATAAAATATGATATCAATGTATATTTCTATCAATGTATATTATTTCTATCTGATGCTATTTGTTTTTATTCACAGATATATAATGAATGTTGTGAAAGAGAAAGTAATTGTAGTGTTTCGCGGCAACAAAACAGGGTGAGCATATTTTTCAATAGTTTTTAACGGAAAATAAAGTATCATGTATAATACAATTAAAATATATAAGTTTTAGGCAAAAGGAAGTGTGCGATTAATTTATCTACCACACGATTTCATATAAATAACTATGCTCGAAACTGAAGTTTACTGTTTTACATACTCCATCGTTTTACAACAATATCTTAAAATTATTACCTTTTCCCTCTCCAATTTAATTTTAACTATTCGCTTTAGAGTTCTCTGTATTTAGAACAAATAAAATCACTTTATATATATATCATTGTAAATTACTATTAGTGCTTAATAAATTTCAATTTCCAGCGATAATTTCTTGAAAATTTTGATGCATTTACTAATCTTATTAGCAAATATCTCGGTTTAAATTCTCAGTTAAATGTTCAGAATGATTCCTTTGCTTAATTGTGCAAGGAAAGGCATCAAAACGGTCAAAATGCAAAATATTATGGCTGATATGAGCCAATTTAAGATATATTATTTTATAGCTTTCGAAATGTTAACAAAATGCACTTTGCATTTCTTTTTTAAGTTCTTGTATTTACTTAAAATGAAACAAGTTAAAAATCGCATGCCTTTTAGGGGGACAAAAAAACAGAAAGAAGAAATGTATTTTCTTCCCGTTAACTAAATTATGTGAGAAAAATGACCTGATTTTGGACCAAAATAGATATTCTTAATTACGAAGATGAAAACCTCTTAATTTTGTATGAAACATGTAAAGTTGAGAAGCGTGTAATTTAAGTGTGATTTTTTGTAGAACCTGTTTGCTTTTGATAATGCCTACCATTCTTTACCAGAGTAAATTAATTCAATAACCGGAGTCAATTGCGTTCTCGGTATAGGGCAGCCATTTTGTTATGTGATGCTATTTATAAAATATACAGAACAATAATTTTAATTGCATTCTCTTTACACATGATAAGAAAATATCACCTTTTTACAGATATGGCTCGTATTTTTATTCTTTTTCCCTGGCAAGAAGACATTTTCCGGACATTTTAGGCCAAAGGGACATCAGCGCAGAAGAACTAGTTCTCGAAATGGCATTTTACATCGAACCACTAAAAGCATTGCATCACTTTGTAATATTCTAGCTGAAATTAAGTCCTTTAACTTCTAGAACCTAGTAGAACTATGTAGCGACAATTCGCTAAGTTCTTGTGCGTAAATAATAACCCTAAAGAAGGGATAAAATTGTAGGGTTTTTTTTATTTTGCATAACAAATTTATTTTAAGTTTCCCTGCTCTCAACTTCTCAAACTTCCCAACACATCCTCTCGCCAGGATGTAAATTTGAAGTTAAGTGAAGTGCTATTTAAACGTGCGACTTTCTCAGTTTATTCAGAATGTGTTTCGCTAGCCTAGCGCACGTTTTGTTGTTATTTCGCGGTCACGCTCGTCAACCGTTTGGCCTTATCAGTTTAGTATCACGCCGGTTAGTTCGGAGTCATCTCTTAAGGAAACTTGAAGGCGTTTTGCCTCGTTTATTTTTTCAGATTTGATTTGTATACAGTCTACGTTTAGTATCGCCGCAAGTGAACGGTTTAGAACGCACAAGTCCGTGCTTTCTGTTAAATAGTTTGATTTATAATATTATTTTGCAACCTTCTTCTGTGTGGTAATTAATTCACGCCGAGCAAGATTAGCAGGTTCATTGTAGATCTAAGTTAGTGATGGGACAAGTGAGATAGATCTTACCAAATATCGATTTATTCTAATCCAATTTATATTTACAGATGGTTCCTCTTGGGTGTACAGGGAAAATGTTGGTTGACCTTAAAATTAACTAAGACTAAATAGGATGAAACAGCCTAAGCTGCGCACAGTTGTTGCCGCGTAGTTGGCTCTTATCTAAAAATTACCGGCGTAGACTAACAGGCACGTAATAAGCATGGCCGTAAATTAGCAAGCCTTAAACACGTAGCAACAACGTAGCCGAAAGGCAAAATACGCTCTCTCTCTCTCTCACTCTAGTTCTGTGTAATTGATGTACTAAATAAATAAATAAAGAAAGAATTGATAATAAATTAATAAATAAATAATTGATGTAATTCGTACGCAGAAAATGAGGAAGTAAAGGAAATCCGTCTTAACGTAAAATAACTATTAGAAAAATAAAGTAAAATTTTCAAGTTGTTGCCACCAAATTTTATTGCCCTGCATTAAAGAAATTAAATATTGAAAAATCTGCATGAATGTATGTATGTTTCTTGCATGCGAAAACACAACGGTACTCAGAGCCATCAAATTCTGAATAACGTAGTCCTCCATTCGAATATGGGCACCTGGAAGCCTGAATTTTGAACTTAGATTTTTTTTAATATCTATTTCACATTTTGTAAAACTTTAACGAATTTTTTATTAAAACACTCCAACGATTTCAAAGCGAGCAGTGGCAACACTGTACGAAAATAAGCCATTTTTATTTCAAGCGCGCGAGACTGTCTATCGCAAATTTTAATATTTTGATTTTAAATATTTTTAACCCAAAGAAACGTTAGCCCAAATGCTCTCGAAGCGTGCATGTGTGTGTATGAAATAACGCCCCTTTGGGGGTAATGTAAAATTTGAAATCTTTCAGATTTTTGTTTTGGTAAGGTATCCAAAACAAAAAAAAAAAAAAAAAAAAAAAAAAAAAAAAAAAAAAAAAAAAAAAAAAAATCATCTGAAAAATCGCCAAAGACTATATTTTATTTGAAGCTGTTTAATTATTTTTACTTTATCAACGGAAAGAAAAATAATTTCAAGAAAATCTGAATTTAATATTTGAACATTTCATTCGGTTATTTATTCCATAAAAGATTTATTTAAAATATTATACTTCAGAAGCATTATTTTAGTATTTTATTCACACAACGTTTCATATCAATTGTGGATAACAAGCAATATCAGGTGATTAAATTATTTTCTATAAAATATTTTCAATAACATATAATTTTTCATTCACTCCCTCTGTTTTAAGTAAAATTTCTGTCTGTATAATTTATTTTGGTTACGTTTAAAGTGTAACAACCAATTATTTCGTTAAACTGGACTGTAATGCTTTAAAAATTAGGTGAAGTGCAGTAAAATCTTTTAATGTCGCTGCTCTGGTTTTTGTTCAGTTTGAGGAAAAAGTTACTCGAATGGGAAGAAATTTCAGATCTCAGTTTTCAATTTCATGAAACTAAAATAAAAAGAAATCTTCCTGAATAATATTCACACTTATTTCTTTAAAAAAAGGTGTATATAGTTTTGCACAACTACTGTTATCTGAATATTAGTGAAATATTACATTACGGTCAGGAGTAGTCATTTAACCAGTCACACATTCTGCTGTACGTTTGAAATAAGTTTAGAATATTTTACTGTTTTTCCATTTCTGTCTCATAGTAGGGCAGTAATATTAACAGCTTTTACGTATAGTATGACCCTATTCTTAGACGTTTAAAAAACAAGCGGGATTACTCTATAAAAAAAATTTCAAAATATTAAAAAGATATGATTTATGATGACCATTCTTAAGCTATTTTTCGAGGAAGGCATTTCGTAATTTTAATATTTAAATTATATCTTTGGTTTGCTTTTATCACAGTTTGCTTGTGGATTATAAAATGAGATGAAACAATATTTGGTAGCGGAAAATAGTTTGAGACTAGTTATAGAGCATTTTCTCCCTCCTTTTCACATGCCTTCATGATGTAACTGGAAGCACGCTCGAAGCATATTTATGAGGTTCAGAGTTCAAATCTGCGCGAGAGCATTGCAGAAAGGAAGGAGAAAATATCTTATATATTACCTGCTATCAAATCAATAGAAATACTGAAGAGAAAACTGTCATATGCTTGTTTAAGAACAGTCAATCTGTTACAACTACAGTTGTCATTTTCTCTATAATCGGCAACAAAGCCAAAGATTTTCTAATATATATACATATATATATATATATAGAGAGAGAGAGAGAGAGAGAGAGAGAGAGATTAGCTAATCCTTTTTCTTTAATACATGTGTATTTTTGAATTAACACCTATATTTTTAAAGCATTTCTGAATACATTTTAATTTCAGTACTGAATAATTCTTTTACTAATTAAGACACTAATTAAGATGGTGGTTCGGTAAAACCATCGAAACTAGTCCTGTGAAAATTTTGTAAATATAACGCTGAATTTTGTTGTTTGACTTCTGAATTAGTAATTCTTTTACATTATTTATTACCTTTTCAGGGAATAGACTGTATGAGCCGATCCATAATGGTAAGTATTACAATAAAGGTTTTTCAAATGAAAATTTCTTTTTCGCTGCTTTTAATAGGATAAAGATGACAGAATCTCATTGAAATAGACCATATAATAAACAGTTTACGTTTTTCTCTTTAGGGATATTAATACATTGTAATGCTTTCTTTTTAAGCGAGCCAAGCCAAAAAAAAAAAAAAAAAAAAAGCCGAGCGACATTATAGAAATAGCATATGAACGTATCATTTAAAGTTAATTTTAGAAGCAATTACTTTTATTGACCGCAGATTTGGTTAACTTAATGTGCTTAAAAATCACGTACCACTTATGAAAGAGTGTATTATATTAGAAACAAATTGATGAAATTTCTTTGAATAATGAAGAAAAATAATATTAAATGAAAGAAAAAGAGCATGTTGTTTTATTATGTAAAAAGCACATTTGAATATTTAAGACACTAAGATTTTAACAGCATGTAATTTTACAGTTGTTAGTTAACTCAGACTCACATATATTAGGCTTTCTAAAACGTGTGTGCTCTATATTACGAGTAATTTTGTCAGTTCTTATTAATGCCAAGAAAGAACTGAGATTGAGACTTTTATTGATTATTATTGATTTAACTGATATTGAGATCATTTTTATTCTGTTTTTAATACTTCTTATTCGATCTCTTATTTTTAATAATGGACAGTAGTTTCTTAACCGTTAATCTTTTAGAGTTAGATGCACTGATATCAAATATTAAAAGGAATACAGAAATATTACATCCCGACTTATTTCAATTTAAAACGTCTAAATAGGTTGGGAAAAATTACACGCTGAAGCAAATCTAAGGTCACATTTGTATTTGGAATTCTTAAAAAAATTCAGAATGCATTAAAATATTAACAGGAACTTCTCTATTTTACGTTAAAATTTATATGCAGTATATATAAATTATGCTTCGAAAGCAGACTTTTACATCATTAACATTTTAAGACAGGCTTTCTGTATTTCAGACAAATTATTCATCAATGTTTTCTGACTCTCGGGAGAGTGGTTCAGGTACCACAGAGATGAGTTTCTCTTATACAAGAAGTCACCAATGGTATGATGTACTGGACACTTTGGCCGAAATATGTCGAAGGCAACCCAGAGCGGTAAGAATTACATTTAATCATTCAAAAGTACATCATAATTTATCTACATATATCCAGGAAACTTTATAGAGTTTCAATCCCACTCTACGTAGAGTGAGGGAATAGAAGGCACAGAATTCTGCGACGGCCGTTCAGTTAGTCTGATAGTAATCAACTGGTTAAGACCGCTGAGCAATGATAGTTCTACCGGGTTTGAAAACACAGGTGAATGGGTTGGCTGCATGAATGTTTTCATGGTTTTCTCCATATGATATGTGGGAATATGAGCTAAACTTCCTTACTAAGTCCTCCATGAAAACGTCTCTCCATGTAGGTAAATAGTTCTCTCATACAGTGCCATAACTGATTAGATAAACAAATGAACACAGGCAATTTCTTTATTCTCGCTCGGTGTTGCCAGAAACTTCTGAAGGAAAGTAGCAAGAGAAGAATCGAAAGCATACATACACTGTTACCATAAGACAGAAGTTTCTAAATCATATGTTGTAAAAAACTAGAGGGACTATACTGAATGGGGAAAAATTAAATACGATGTACGATTATTACTATTTTAACATTTATTTATAATTTCAGCCTTTATCACTTCTCCGTCCCGTTTCCTCAAAAGAAATGTAAATAAGTTGGAGGCCATTTAAGCTGAGGTTTCTGGATTGTAATACAGAGCATGTTTCTGCCTCTCTAGGCACGCTACTAGGTTTCGCTAGCTCTTGTTAGATTGCAATTCTTTGGCTTTGCGTTATAGCTGCCGATATTTAATTGTGTTTCCTCATCTCTAAACTATTATAAGACAATTTATGCTGTCGACATACTAGGATGAATTCCTGTGCAAAATTGAGGCCAAATGTGGAAAAAATTGTCTTTAAGATGTACCTGATAAACCAAGACGGGAAGCAGCAGCTGCTTTTCGACTACGTTTCGACGTGGGCATGATTGCCTGGTTGCTCATCAGTGTCGTATTGGCGTTATTTTCTCACTGAATGCTGCCTGCCTGTTGTTGGACAAAAACGAACTATGACCAACATCCCCGCATATCTGCGGAGCTCTGAATGGAGATACTAATTCATCTAGATATTGGGAGGCTAGAAGGTTCTTAGGGCGATAAGCTTTGGGATATCTCTTGAACACTTTGATGTTGTTTCTACTACTAGTATTTATTCTTTTTTTCCCTTTACTACTCATTTTTATTCTGTTTCTAATACTTGTTCTTTTTCTTGTTCACGTGCATCGCCATTGGAAATAATAATAATAAAAAATGTTAATATGCATAACGCTTCTTAATCTAATTAGAGATTTAATTATTTTGGAAACCTCGATGCATGGTAACCGTTTAATAATTTAATGTAAAAAAATCTGATTTAAATTTAAAAAAAAAACACTGGATTTTTATATTAAAAAAAATCATTTCTGACACCTTGTGCTTAGGTAATGAGATTTTAGATATCAGCTAGTCAATTACAATAATGTGTTATGTGTTACACTTCGATGTTATGTGTAACTGATATTCCCTTGATAATGATACCGTCATTTTCCGAATCACGATTTCACATAGTCTCTTGTTCTGTTAACTTCAAAAAACGATAACTCAGCTTGACTCATCGTTTAATTTCTCAGCTATTAAGCTAAGCTCTTAATTAGTTGATGGATAGCTGGAACTCTAATAACCAACCTTAATTCAAACTGTATTTGACAGGAGTACAACATCATCAATATACAGCGTAAATGTAATTCTTCCGAGACTTTGGATTATATATAACAAATCTTAATATATAAATTTATTTATAATCAAAGCGTTTATTATTTTCACTCTTATTTTTAATATGTAGGATTGCTATAGCTCAACAGTTATTAGACAGCAAAATTTGAGATGAAAAATGTCAGTTGAGGTAGTGTTGTTTAACAGAAAAGTAGCGTAATTCTTTTATGTTATCTCAAAGAATATGCATAATTAAAAATAATATCCTGGAAAATGCATGTAAATGAATTGGCGTAATTCTCACTTAATCAATTGTAGCAAAGATGCTACGGCTACTCCTCTAAGGGTAAGGATGCTTTCGTGGAAGAAATCTTAAGCAAAAATAACTCGAATTTACTCGAAAATATTTTTAAATTTATTAATGAGAATACGAACCAGAGATCTGATTCGCTCAATGCCTTAGTTCCTCAGACTGAAGATATTCCCTCATTGCCTCGAACCCCTAGTGAAAACTTCTTGTTTCCAGGAATTTTATGTAGCAAGTCTCTTCATCCTTCGTTTCTTCTTTCTGGTTAACATTCTCAAAAGTCTTTTTCTCTTCATCTTAATTCATAGCTAGAAGCCTGCCATTCAAATCAATTCTTAAAGAATACATTTCTAGGCAAAGCTGCTTCTTACTTTTCGTGTTCATTAGTGAGATACGGGGTTTTATACAAAGGGAAAACCATGAAAATGCCCATGCAGTCGCCTTTTTATTGTCGTCCGAATTAAGGTCAATCGGTCAAATTTTGGACAAAGGCGTTTTGCTTGCGGAGTACCTTTGCAATCAATTACAATTACCTCCACATCGTCGTTTATAAGAATTGAAATAAATAAGAGAGAGCTTTCGCTAAAGAAAGCTAAGAAGGAAAAAAAGAAGCCATAATAGGCTGGAGAAAGGAGCTAATAACAATGTCGACAGTATAGTTTGGGCAAAAATCCTTTCGATAATTCCCATATCTTTTATTTAATGACTAATAGTAAAAGTGTCCAGTTGCTCTACATTAGAATAATTAATATTACTTTTAATTTATGAAGAACGTATTTGAGTAAAACTTGAAAAATATGCACTTCTATACATGGCAAGTGATAGGCAAAGTTGTTACTTACTTAGTTTTCGGTGTTTATGGAAAAAAATAATTGCAGTGAATGTAAATTTTGAATTTTGAAGGACCGATTCACTTAAAAAAAATCTCAGAAATGTAATAGATCAGCAAAAGTCTCAAAAGCAAAAATAAAATCATTCAAGCACAAGAAAATAACAATAAAACGAGAATTACAGCTACATAGATAAGAAATGAGTTATTCATTAAGAAAATTAACTCTAAGTTCTTTAGTTCATTTATTATTTAATTCATTTAGATTACGATAACTATTATACTTGAAGCTCGCTACGCTGCCAAGAATGTTTTAATCAAAGATCATATTTCTTTTTTTTAAGTTCCCAAAATAGATATCGATCAGAATAACTAAAACTGTCTTTATTGTCAACGAATCTTATTGGAATCAAGAATTCGTGAACACAAAACGCGTAAAAATTTTTAATTTTGATACAATGCCATCAAATAATATATTTATTTTGAAGCTTTTTATTAAATTAACGTTATCGCATGAATATGTAAATTGAAGGTCATAAACTGCCGAACTGTATATCATTAATGAATTCTTGAACATTTGAAGTAAAATTATTCACTCTTGTAAAATAATTTTAAATGGATTACAAATCTGATATGAAAAATCATTTATTATATTTTTAATATCGTTTTGTAAATTATTAGTATGCGGATTACGACATCTATAAAAATAAATTAACATGTTTTCCCTTGTGCATGGAACTGATGTCTTACAGCCATTTCGTGTTACGCATAATCATAAGGAAAGTATTTTCTTATGCAGAGGAAACATGTTATTTTCACAGTTCGGAAGAAATTATGTTGCAAATCACTAGCAAATCATGAGCAGAGTAATTTCATATGTTCAAGAAACTTGTGAGCTTGACACTTCCAAGGAAATTACGTTGCATTGTCCTCCACAATCACGCGACATACTGCTTGTTGTTCCTTGAGCATACATTACAAGAAAGTAGGTTATATTTTGATATCAGTTTTTTGTTTCATTTTGACACACTCCCATAAATCTTATATGAATGCTTGGCCAACGGTATTTAATTACAATCTAAAGATTGTAAGTGAATAAGCTGAATATAACAAAATTTTATTGTCGATTTCCAAATTTAAGTATTCCTGCTCTTTAACACAAGAAACGAAATTTTATCGTAAATTTGTTTCTTTTATACTCTAGAGAAGTTTTCCCAACTTTTCTTTCTTAGGAGCTACTGCAATTATTTTAAAATCAAGAAGCACTTTCTTGAAAGTAATTGTATTTACAAGTTACGTTAAAATTAGTAACATGCACAAAATAATAACATTAAGATTGTTTTGATCAGAATATTATTCATAGATATATTTGGCTTTAAGCAAGGCATTAACCTACAGATTTTGTGTTGTCCTTCCCGAACAAAACTCAGAAATTCTATAGCAAGTCTCTTATTGAGTGACTTTAAAAGTCTTATTCTAGGAGATGTCGCTTAAGATGATGACGGAGAGAATATGCATACTAATGGGGTTCGTTTTTCTTATTTAAACTTATCAATGTCATTTTATACAACTTTATAAGAAAAGAAAATGTATTTAGTTTTGTCTTAAAATTCTGTGGCTAAATTTCTTTCTTTTCTATTATTTTTAAAAAAATCATAAGGTAAAGATAATATACTTCTATTTAGCAGATGAAATAAAAATATGATATAACTTTTTACGAAACCACGTTCTTGAAGTGCATGTTTTACAATCAAGTTCTAGAAGTGCATGTTTTGCAATCAAGTGACCCCGTTCTAGAAGTTATCGCACTATTTTATCACATGTTTTACAATCAAGTGACTTCATATGACCTTTTAGGAATTATCGTTAAATTCCAGTATGGAAGTACTGTAGAAACCAGCTATAAAATTCAGAAAATTACTTACTATGCAATATTTGAAGTATAGACAAGCTAGTGAAATTATAAAACGAGAAATATTTGCTAACCAAAACAAAGCAATTAATGAGGAGAAAAAATTACCTTAAATATTAAATCTTCTGCACTGTAATAACTTGTAAGTATTTATTTAATTTACTTAACAGTTATTTTATGTTTAAGCAGCTTTCCTATCGCTCTTGCTTTCACTCACTCTTTCTTGCCAGAATGCAAACTGACTATCGCGCGTATATTCAAATGATGTAGAAGTTAGTATTTAAGGGAAGGTTTTGAAAGGTGATGTTAGAGCGTGTTCTCCCTGTTTAAAGAACACGTTGATGTCTTTGATTCTCTAGCGATTAGATATCTGTGGCGTTGAGCTATTCTTTTCATTTGGCTTGTTTATGCCGACTTTCGGGTTAGAGCCAGCTTGAGAAATAGTTAACCTGTGGTATAGTTAACCTTCTGAGTTAAGCCAAAAGTGTTGGCTTTATAAGGACGGGTTGGTACTGTCTGTGAGTAATAAACGTTTCTTTACATCCCTCTCCTGACTTTATAGTACTTTAAAGACTTAGTGATTATTCATTAAACAGTCTTCTAATGTCGAGCTCAGTTTATGGTAGCCAAACATACAAGATGTTCTAAACTATTACACATAAGTTTAGAACAGAAGTTTATTAATTTTATTAAGCATAAATAAAGATAGTAAATATATGAATATGGCTTTTTTCTAAGCCCTCGCTTTTCGCACGGCATAAATTATAGAGTCTCTGTTAGGAGCAGAAAAGTCTCTATATTCAAACTCGTTAAAACGAACTTGAAAATATACTTGCAAATATCTGAAAATATAATTGTAAATTGTGGAAAAGACACGGAACAAAAATACAAGGCCAATAGGCTAAATTTTTAAAACTCTTTCGATTACTATATCTCAACAAGTAAGAAACAAATTTCTTATATCTTAGAACTGTAGGACTTACCCTCACAAGTATCCTCACAAGTTCTTTTGCGTTTGGTTAAAACCAAACGCAAAAGAACTGCTGTTTCGATTAACGAAACGCTTAGAACTTATGAATCATAAAATGGCGGAAACATAACTCTGGACTTTTATAATATAGAAAAATCAAAAGTTGCGAGTATTTAATTTTTTTTTTGCTTTTTTCTTCAAATATTATAACGGAATGCTGTCATGTTTAGTTAAATAAACAAGGTGATGTTCGCAAATGTTTCAATCAAATCAAGTAAACTATCAGAATCGGTACCATCTCTCTGAACTCGCACATTAGAGTTTGTATAATTCCATATTCAACCCGCGGATGGTCAAGCGAATTTATACATTAATAAGAAGAAGAAAGGAAGAAGAAAAAAAGGAAATTTTCTCAGTTATTGCAAACAAAGATTTGGGGTCACATCGGCTGTAGTAAAAATCTGAAGTCCTCAAATGTACACTGAAATTCGCGTTTTTCGTGTTTTCAAACTTTAATCTTGTGACATCCTTGTTATAGCTACTAAAATATGGATCGCTGACAAATGCACGATCATATATGTACCACCCGAGCTAATCTTGCAGTATGCGTTGCAAACTTTTAAAATTGTGCAGTTACGTGAATTCGACATTATTTTAATTTTAAGAGTACATTTATAAGATTTTATTAATCCATAACGTCAGGAACATCTTCTGAAAGCAAACAAAAATTAGCCATTGAAATAAAATAACGCAAGAAAAGTAGGAAGACACAGTGAATTGTATATTTTGTTGTGATAAATGAACATGATGCAACATAACATAATTGGTTTTGTCGTGAAAGTTCGATACTAAAAAATTAAAAAATGTAACATTAATCATCGTTACATAGCGAAACACAAAACAATTAGGGATACGTGTCCTCGTGGGTCTTTGATAAGATGTAAAAATTAACTTTCTTCAAGAGAATTATATTGATTAGTTTGTGTGCAGATAGATGTCCGTCTTTTTATAGAACTGAAAGCGGATTTATTTTGTTAAAATAAGACTATGAGGTATTTCTTCCGCCTTCCTAGCGTGCCTTCGTAGTGTAGTGGTTCTGCACGTTGGGCCAGTGTTCCAGAGGTCCGTGGTTCGATTCCCGGCGAAAGCGATCGCTCATTTATCATCTTGCCTGCTTCCTCCCCCCCCAAAAAAAATAAATACCTAAGGACTCTACAGTGGCGCCCGAACTAAAAGAGTGTTGGATGATGATTCTCCCCACCCAGGATTTGGCGATTGGGTTCCCTAACATGCCCAGTCGCCATTTAAAAGGGGGAGTTTATAAGGTATTTCTCCCGCCTTCCTGGCGTGACTTCGTGGTGTAGTGATTCTGAAGGCTGAGCCGGTATTCCAGAGGCCCGTGGTTCGATTCCCAATGAAGGCAATTGCTCATTTTCCATCTTGCCTGCTTCCAAAAAAGTACCTAATGTCTCTCTCTACAAGACTACAATGTAAACAAATCTTTTATTACGTCATTGTATCATTCCCTAAGATAACCTAGCAGCACATGTCTATGCCTAAACTAAACTATAATAAATATAGCAAATTTTATCTCTTCATAAGAAATAAAATATACAAAATTTAAAACCTTGTTGGAAGAAATTAATAGTAGTTACAGCAACGTTCTTTTGCATATACCACTGCGCGACGATTAAGCAGGAGTTCAGAGTCAGTCATTTTCATTATACCGAAAAGTTATCTTATTTTACAAGGAAACAATAACTGTATAGAAAACCAGAAAATGATGCGTGGTGGTATCTTTTAGCCTTTCGGTGCGACATCACGGAAAAATTCAATAACTTCAATCACGATTTACCGGGTGAAAATAACACTTCTGACAAATATTGCACATTAATTTAGAAATCGATCAACAAAATAGCGTTATATTTTCAAATTTTCACGGGACTAGTTTTGATAGTTTTACCGAACCATCATCCTCACCTGCCAAAGCGCAAATGAACTCGCAATGAAACGCCCTTGTTCGGCGTGTTTTTGTATGTTAAATACTGCATAGTTTCCCAATCATAATAAAAGCTAAACAAGGTGGCATTCAAATACCTCCAAAAAACTATAGCATAATATTTCTCAAAGAATTTAAGAGCAGTTTCCAGGAATTCGAAACAGTAAGAATTGTCTGTCACTTGTAGAAAATATCTTAAAAATAGAAACAGCAGTTATTGCAAAACTAGCTATATTGAGATACGATTATGTAACGCTCTCTGTGAGCTCTCATCGAGCTCAAAAACGATCATTTTTAGGTTATTTAGAAAAGAGAAAAGACGAAAAGTATGTTGAATTTTAGAAATTAATGCTTAGAATAACAGAAGAGTGTACAAGAGTTTGTACAAAGGTTATTCATGTTTTTCATATCAGCATATCTTTGTGAATCACCCTGTTTCTAATTTGAAATATATGAAGAGTTTATGGTACAGAAATCGACTTACAGACTCTTCCTCTGATGATGTATTAAGAGTAACATTTAGCAACTGTAAAATTGTTTTGCCAAAAATAGTCAAATTTTTATCTTAGTATAAAAATTAACCTTAATTTTTAAATAAGAATTTGGAGGCATTTAAAATTTATTTTCATTTTTATATTATTAAACTACTAGAAGACTTACATTATGTTCCAGGCCCCGTAACATAGTAAACATATAAATGTGGCTTGAAATAAGAAACGCGTAAACGTTTGTTATTTATATAATTATACATTTTAACATGTCTATGTGCGAATTACTTCCATATCACTTAGAGAAATATAACTAAATATTCGTTCTTTGTTTATAAATAATAGTATGTCAAATTATGCTACTTAGAAATAATTCATAATATTTATAATGTCTTACAATTCTCTTTTCCATTGTTTAGAGACTTCAAACTTGCATCAGAAATGAATTAATTAAAGTAAGTTACATACTTTTGAAATAATTTGATATTAAAATAAGATTATCAGAAAAATCTAAGCTAACTTTGATTTGTGTGTGATCAATTTTAACAGTCATCATAAGCAGTCATAAATGCGTTTAAAGTTTATGTTATATTTGCAATATTAAATTTTGAATTTTGTTTCAATTTTTCGTTTGCAGTTTCACAACTTTTTCTTAAAAATGCTAGCAAAATGTTTCCTACCGAATGATAAAAAATTAAAGAAAAAAAAATTGTGTGCTTTTTTTAAGACAAACAGAATTATTGCTCAAAAATGGTAGATCGTTTGCTAATGCAAGTCTTTATAAAAATTAGTCCAGATTTTGCAATGAATTTAGAAACAGCGTTTTTTAGAAATGTCATTTGAATTTGTATCTGCATCACGAACTCTGACAGGAAAATAAAAATTTACTGTTTTGCGTTTGAAGGAAAATGAATGAGAATTTTACTTTGAAAGATCTTATATAATACGTTTCACCAATGAAAGAATCGTTGTCTTAGTATTCTTAGTGTTAAAACTTTCGAGAAATCAAACATAAAATAGTGTTTGAAACTTTTCTATACTCTAACGCAGGAAACTTTTGCCGAATTATTAATTTTGACAGTAAGCTATCAGAAGATGATACCTGGTCACACTTTTCGAGAACTCATCTTTATAATTTGGTAAATACCATTCCGTTGGCATGGCAGTAAATGGACAGCTATCTTGTTCTCTGAACTGGACTCGAAATCCGAAAATGGCTTTGGTGTTTGTAAGGATATGGCGTCATGGATAAAAGTATAGCAGCATGGGGGCACTTAAATTTCTGTCGAGCTGAAAGTCTTTCTGACCTCAAACTCTTTCCCTGAGATATTATTCAAACCGAAAATTAGGTTGGTGCTTCCTCTTTCTCGAAGGTGTATTTTGGTCCGCTTTTGTGTTGCACCCTGTGCAACGCGGCAGTCATCCGGCTACATAACTGATACTTCGGTCTTTTCCGACGAATGGTTAATTTGATAATCATAATAAAAGCTAAACAAGGTGGCATTCAAATATCTCCAAAAAACTATAGCATAATATTTCTCAAAGAATTTAAGAGCAGTTTCCAGGAATTCGAAACAGTAAGAATTGTCTGTCACTTGTAGAAAATATCTTAAAATAGAACAGCAGTATTGCAAAACTAGCTATATTGAGATACGATTATGTAACGCTCTCTGTGAGCTCTCATCGAGCTCAAAACGATCATTTTTAGGTTATTTAGAAAGAGAAAAGACGAAAAGTATGTTGAATTTTAGAAATTAATGCTTAGAATAACAGAAGAGTGTACAAGAGTTTGTACAAAGGTTATTATGTTTTCATATCAGCATATCTTTGTGAATCACCCTGTTTCTAATTTGAAATATATGAAGAGTTTATGGTACAGAAATCGACTTACAGACTCTTCCTCTGATGATGTATTAAGAGTAACATTAGCAACTGTAAAATTGTTTTGCCAAAAATAGTCAAATTTTTATCTTAGTATAAAAATTAACCTTAATTTTTAATAAGAATTTGGAGGCATTTAAAATTTATTTTCATTTTTATATTATTAAACTACTAGAAGACTTACATATGTTCCAGGCCCCGTAACATAGTAAACATATAATGTGGCTTTGAAATAAGAAACGCGTAAACGTTTGTTATTATATAATTTATTTTACAAATTATATAATTTATTTTACGTTTGTTATTTATACAAAGTGTCTGGTTGTAGGAAGGAAAAAAAAATAGGTAAGTAAAAGGATGTAATAGCGCGGATGAACACCACTGAAAAATGCTTCGATTAAAAAAAAGTGAGTATATATCCAATGATATCCTATTTGTGATTTATTAACCAAAGGCAACTGAACAATAAGATTATCAGGTTCAGTGTTCCTCCTTACTTGCTTTGGGAACATTAAATGACCTGACTCGGAACAGGGAGCTGACTAAAGCTACGTTCAATAAATGTGGGAAGTAGACAATACACACAAGAAGGGTATACGAAACCCTTTATTTTTCTCTTTTACAATGATTTCGGGACTTCGGAATACAGAGACCAACCACTTGTGGTCTGAACGTAAGAATATAAAAATATTAACTAAACTCTAACTAAACTAACTTTGGATTAATAAAGAAGTGCCTACTTGAAGATTGGCCTTATATTAACAGAAAAGGCCGTATGTAGTACAGAGAACTGTTAACACTACGATACGTTTAAAATTATCAAGAGGATTAAACCTCTGGCCTTGAAGGCAACCAGCAACCGAGTAAAACTGCTATGGCAAGCGGCCTGCTTCTACTAACTCCTACCTCTCTCTTGCTTGGCAAAAAGCCGCAACTTAAGTACTTGGCGTTCGCAAGACAAATTTGCATAAAGAAGTTAAAGCTTTTAATTCTGGCCGGAAGTAGAAAATAAGAAGTGATAGTAAAGATTTAAAATAAAATAAACGTTAGTAAAACTTAAGATCCTTATAAGATTATCTTTAATTTTCGAGAAGGGATATGGAAAATTAGATTTGTTCACGTTTCTTAACTGAAATATAGATAGATATAGGTAGATTTTATCAAAAACTGTTGAGAAGGTAAATTTAAGTTAATATGTTTCTAGGAATAAAAATGTATTGATTTTCAATCTTTACTTTATCACGTACTGAAAAATACTGATATGATTTTACAAGATAGATAACATTTAACAATTTTCAAAATATTATTATTTTTCATTTGCGAAATATTGTTTTCATTTCTTCAAGTAAAGTAAGTCAAGTTCTAAAAAATTAAGAATTTAAACAATTTTTTATGTTGAGAAAGAGAGTAACAATACTAAATATTTTCAGTTCTATGTCTAAATATTTCCAGTGTTCTTAGGGTTTAAAATCAGAATTTGACTAAATTTTTAGATAAAAATATGAAAATAATTTAAGCAAATTTGGAATGGGCTTCAAAATGTTTTTTAGAAATGAAATTTCAAAATTGAAAGGTATTTCAGATTTTGAGACTTTGTTAGTCTTTTGGAGGAGACAACGTTTAGAAAAGCCTAATCAACTATTTAGCTAGCTCCCTAATTTAGCTTTATAATATTACGATGATGTTTCTTCTTGAATATTGCTTGTTCGGAAAATATATTAAAGGCGTATTGTGATATGCGCCAAAACGCTATCAATTGTCTTACACATCTGAATCTCGTATCCTCTGTTCCTAAGAATATCACGTGTTTCGGGTTGGAATGACATCTAAGGAATTTATAAATCATGATAGTCCCTGAAACTTTTGTTTTTGAAATAAGCAATCCAGGCACACTGATATGGTGCATTATCCTACAGAAAGCGGTTTCAGAGCGAAACGTAATTGCCTTGAACGAATGCATCTGGTTTTCAATGGTATTTAAGTAGGGGTCGAGTTCTTCATGTGAAAGATTGAACTTGTAGTTTTCCTGTCGAACATCGTCCAGTACTTTATCAGCCAGCTTATTTTTGTTTTCCCAATCATACAAGGTAAGTTTTTGATTTGGCCACATGAATATTGTTTAGTACTTTCAATGCTGAACCGAAGTTCGTTTATGCCACTTTATTTTCATCCAGATTCTCAGCAATGGCTGTCTTGACTATCTTAGCAGCGCGTTATTCTGCCACATCATGCTTTTTCTTTGCTTAAATAAGCATGATGACGGTGTGGTTATAACATTTTGAGTCTTTAGCGTATTATTTTAAAACTGAGGTTCTTTGCCCAGTCATTGCTATTGTTAGGCGCAGGTTGGAATCATGTACGTTGAAGATGCTATTTTCTTGTTCAAGTCTGTACGAAATGGGCCCACCAGCGGCCGAGCGGTAAAGTCGCTGAACGCTGGTAGTTGGGACCGAGATTCGAATCTCGCGAACGGCCTGGCTGCATGGGCGTTTTCGTGGTTTTCTCCATGTGTAACGTGTATACGAGCCAGTTTCCCTTAGAAAGTCCTCCACGAAGGCATCCTTCCCCCTTAGGCAGATAGCCCTAGTGTGCTTTGCCGTAATTTCAATAAACCAAACCAAAACTGTACGAAATGTCATAATCCGTTAAAAATTACGAGGCGGTTTTCTTACAGTTCTAGTATTTCTTTTTGACATCAAGGCATACACATGAGGCACATTTCAAACTTCGCTAGTTTATTAAATAATTTGTTTAGCTAACATAGAATTAAGTTATTTGTTAATTTTGCAAACTAAGCTAAAATATAATCTTAGAGCGAAATGAATTTTAAACAAAAAGTTTAAGGTTTCTGCGTTTACAAATAGCAGCTAGACGGCGGTTATATTTTCTTAAAAGCTTCATCTCAACTAAAATGGGTTTGATTTCTTGTCCACGACTACCTAATTCTTTAGAATCTGAAATCTGAATGTTCGGTCTTATGTTACGTGCAGTTGTTTCAGGAGAGTTCAGAAGAAAATAAAAGTCTTTTTTTTTCCCCGCATTGCAGAGGTGTCGCTTTAGTATGCTTCAGGATCGGTTTACAAGTGCACCAGGACGATGGGTCAACCAGCGACACTTAGACCGAGGATCTCCATACAATGTGAACTACGGCAGTCGAATAGATCCTCATAAGCGAATACAGTTTTACGGAGCAGGACGAGGAGGAAATCCCGAGGGTGCTTTGATTGTGATGGGAAGACCAATGAATTTTGGTTCCAATTCTGAGTCTAAATATTTTTCCAGAGGTGGTTATAGCGATGATATGGATGATGAGGAATTTGGGTACTCGGACAGTGAGTCTATGAGATACAAGTAAGAAAGGTAACTTTAAAAGTATTATGCATTTTTTAAAATGTTGAAAATAATAACCATTTAGTTAAAATCAAATAATATTAGAAAAATAATCAAATGTATATTAGAAAACTAAAGAGGATCACTAAATTCGTACGAAATGATATTTTTTGATAAAGAAGTATTTAATTAACAGGCTACAAAAGCTAACTTTTATAAATTTTATTTGATGTGCAAAGTTGTATTTATGTAACTAAACGCGCTGCACATTAGTTAGTTAACTAATCTGTTATCTGCCGCACGGATCGATCCTATCAGCTGCTTTGCATTTTGGAATATTAAGATAGCAAACAGTATAACTTTTTAAAAGCTATAATAACTCTGAAAGAATTGCTATTGCTTCTTGGTATGCAAGGTTTTCGATACCTGTCCCAAATTTATATGGTTAACTTTTTGATACAATCACTTAGGTTAACCTGCTTGCTTAAACCAGAAGTAGTTACAGATAACCATTAATTAACAAAAGAATGGAATAATTTGGTATTGAATAACCCATATTAATTCAATGGAAATTATATTTCCACCAGAATTAGAGTATTAATAATAGAAAATTTCAGCATTTTATCTCTTGATGATATTAACAAAACCTGTAGTACAAGAATTTACGTTATCTAACAACGGATGTTTTTTAAATTCTTTAATTTAAATTAACAATTATGTCTGACTTAATAATTCTAATTCAGAAGTCAAACAACAAAAATCAGCATTATATTTTCAAATTTTCACAGGACTAGTTTCGATGGTTTTACCGAACCACCATCCTCAGCTGCAAAAACGCAAATGAACGAGATAGGATATAATGATCAGATAAGATAATCACTCATTAATTTGAACGAAGAGTTACGGAGCTACGGAAGTGAAATGCAGGCACGATAAATGCTCGTGAATCACTCGTTAAGACTGACAGAAGTATCTCTGTCATAGAGGATAGAAAATGGGACTACTAACTCAGAAATCATGAGCCTTACAACAAAGTGTAAAATTGGAAAGTTACAGAATACCACCAAATTCGTAATTTATATAACTTTAGCTTAACGTAAAAACGTTTAACATGTACAGCATTTGTCACAATTCCCGTTTGTATGCTGAGAAATAAAATTAAAGTTCGCAGTGTCATGTGTATCACACTAGCAAAGGCAACAACAATTTGACTTGATTTTGGACAATCATTATTTCGACTGCATGGGCATTAAGAGCTTAATGGGTGGGTAGAAATTCATAGCAGTTAGGTTGAGTAAATGTAGAGGATGCTAGTATAAGTGACTGTTATAACTAATTTTTGCCTCGAAAGTTTTGAGCTGAGAAAGTTTCTCTATTCCTGGCTGCACATTTGTCATATTGGAAGCATAATGTTTGTAAGTCGTTCGGAGAAATATAATTTAATCAGTCTGCTAATTTATTATTATTATGAAATAACCTTAAGTGCCTTCTGTCAATTAATGCTAATACATACATCAAATCACAGAAATAAATGAAATGGGCTGCAGTAAAAATTCTTAAAATAGGCAGCCGTACTTACATTCAGTTTCAAAGCGATTCGTTTTATTGACCTCACAATTCTTTACTTTCGAATAATCTTTCATTGTATTTTGATGGTGGTATTCACACTTATAATAGAAATATCTGATAATGAACGACAATTCGCCGTTTCGGTGACTTAATATTTCCAAGAGAAGTTTATAGTTTTTACATATCCGGATGAGAGAAATCAGATTTCGGAAGTCTAGAATTTAAATCTTCTACTTGTTCCACAGATTTCTACAAAATGTCATATTCTACTAAATTGATAGTGCTTTACAAACTTTCACATTTTTCCTAATTCATGAAACTCTGTTCTTAATTTCTAAATTTTATCTCTAGGAAATGCTGTCTTCAGCTTCAAATGGCAGGGCATTACCACTTTACAATAGCAATACCGGATTCCTTTAATTTGAGATTTATCCTGAACTAAACGGATTTTAGGCGACTTTACTGTAAGCTTTGTAAATAAAAATGTTTTAAAATTAAATTTTTAGTCCACCAGTACTTTTGTAGAGCCATTATGTTTGTGGAAAATTAAACAACAACAACAACAGAAAAAAAAAAAAAAAAAAAAAATCAGTCAGAAAAAATAGCTCTCGTAAGGATTTGAACCACAATATTTTATTGCTAGCCGGATGTATTTCCAATTAATACCACAAAAGGTAATGGAGGAGGTAAATACTAATGGTAAGGAAAGAGTGAATACCTTAGAGTATAAATTAACCAAAAATTGCTTTATATTATTGAATGACTGCAATCTATTTGATAATATCCTCCCAAAATATTTGCTCTCAGAAGTGATGAAAACACAGGATATACGGACAAATGTTTAGAATACAGCTCGGATTTTATATTTATTAGAATAAAGCATTTTCACTATTAAAGTCACTGTAATAATCCATTATTAATAGGAACGTCGTATGCGGGCGTTATATGATTTCCTTTCCCAATATCGACATCTGAGAGTCGATAGCACATTTTTGAACGCCTGTCCTGTATTAAGAGAACGTGAAGAAAAATGCTCTTGACTTTCTTTATTACGTTTTAGCTGTGCTAACGGTAAAAAGTTGAAAACAGCTGTAAACATAAATGCAAATACATAAAATGCTTTTATAGAGTGGTATAAAATTCAGGGGACTTACTCTAAGGGTTTTTTGAATATAAATCTTCGAAATACTTAGAAGTCTTTAGAAATAAAGTTTATCATGCACAGTTTATAAATTTTAAAGAGGAAGAATCTTTCTTCAAGTAATGTGCGAACTTGGCCTATTCCTTTTTTATAATTCCTTTGCAATCAAAATATTATAGGCAGTGGCTGCAATGCTTCAATTAGTAGTACTAGTGTAAAATGCAATGTGCAAAGCACCAATGCAAAAAGAAGATAAGTTATATATAAAATAAGGCTAAATAAAATTGATGGAAATATATGGATAGAAAAAGCTATGAACTAAAATATATGGATAGAAAAGATCATATAAAAATGTTAATAAGAATCTGATATAAGGTAATGCTATGACAAAACTGATTTACAGCAGTTTCAGAGTTTCCAATATGAAAAGAAATGGGATTAAGTACGTACATTGCTCAAAAAAAAAAAAAAAAAAAAAAAAAAAAAAAAAAAAAAAAATGGACAGTCCTATATTCCCCGATCTACGGCCGATTGCAAAATTAAATTGCATTCTTCATGTATCGAAAGCGCGACTTAGGATATATATTAGATTTATATGTAGCACTATTCTAACATAGGTATTTTGACGCAAAATCGGACTTTTTCTGAAATAACATACCAATTTTTTTACATATTTCGATTCTACAACTGAAATTACGCCTAAATATGAAATTTTGTAAAATTTGGAACGAAATTTACGGAGAAATTCACAAATTTATCTTGGCACATTTTTTTTCAGTTTGCGCCAAGAATAGTTCACTTGGCGAACTTCTTAATACATGGCAACCTAGTTTCCTTTCCCGTGAGAGGAAAAATATTAGTTTAAGTATTTTTTTCTTTTTCGAATTTCATTTTAATTGTTTAAGTTGCATGTTTTTTTTTTCGAATAACTGTTTTAAAAATTTCTATTACCTATTCGAACTGCGTAAATAAAGGTGCAGCTTTGTTCATTTTTTGTTTTCAAATACTTTTCTTTATATATATATTTTGTCGTAGTTATTATTTTAGGTAATTTTAAAATGTTTATTCTTTTATTTCAATTGTTTGTATTGCATTGTCTCTTCAGATAATTGGTTTTAAAATTTTCTATTATTCCTTCGAACTTAGCATTTTAAATATATTCATTAATATAATTTCCAGAATTTGCTTTTATTTATTTGTTGTAACCCAGAAACGATGCATTTGAAAAATGAATATATTAAAAGGGAGAAAATACAGTATAGCCCATTAACACGCTTTTCAATGTTCTGTCAGAAAAGATATATATAAATAAAGAGATGTATAACCGACATTTTAACTTAGGATAACTTGATACACTGCTTTAAACAGTTTTCATTGTGCCCATTGCTTTTACACAATTTTATACTACATTTGGTTTCTTAAATGTTATTCATTTTTAGTCAAATATTTTATTTTTTTTGAAATCGCAGAATCAAATATCATAAGATTAAAAGGTTTTAAAGTAAAAATATATAATACTAAATTACGCCAAAATTTTATTTTTTCTTCTCTTTTTCTTCGGGCATTACTTATTCTTGCTCTTTTTCTTTAGGCATTCTGCAAGTATATTAAAAAGTATCCAACTTTTCGAAATATCTTGATATTTCTGACAATCATTTTAAAAAAGTTATCGCCTTCCATTTCATAAAGGCCCACAAACGGCCGAGCGCTCACCATCGCTGAACACTGGTAGTTCACTCGGGGTTCGAATCCCGGAAACGGGCTGGTTGCATGGGCGTTTTCGTGGATTTTCTCATGTGTACGTGTAGACAGCTGGTTTCCCTAGAAAGTCTTCACGAAGTATTTCGTCAGAGCCTTATCAGTCTTTATAGGCTAAACATTTGAAGGTATGAGATGAAAGGAAAGACGGTTTCATCAAGAGGTTTTGGTTTTTTAAATTATGACAAAGCACACTAGGGCTATCTGCCTAAGGGGAGGGATGCCTTCGTGGAGGACTTTCTAAAGGAAACTGGTCTCGCATACACGTTAAACATGGATAAACCACGAAAAAGCCCATGCAGTAGCCCGTTCGAGGGATTCCAACCTCGGACCAAAACTACCAGCGTTTCAGGACTTACCGCTCGGCCCGCTGTTTCATCAGGAAGAAAAAAAAACCCTTTAGGTGACATCCACATACAATACTTTATAAACTCCTGAATCTTCTATAATTCGACTGAGAAAATCAGGGGATTCTCCATTTATGATACGATATGATGTTCTATAAACGTAACTTAAATTATACAACCATATAGTCTAAAAACCGTCGCTCTTCACTT